GCACACAAATATCATTTTTGCTCTTCTGTAGATCTGGAGAAGTAACTCTGGCTCCTGCTCAGCTTTCCTTGGTTGCTAAGCAGAGCGTGTCACCTGACTCCCAGTGCAGTGACCCATCTTCACTCGCCAGCTTACTAGCAATACGCAGTATCACGGGAGACACGTGGCACGGGACTGTTTTAGCTTTTGTTCTCCAATAGCCTAGGTCAGGACATGGAACCTTATCTCACCACTGAGGTAACAGAGAAATAGGCAACACAGTAAAGCAGCTCAGCAACAGGGAGGCTCTTAACTGGGCACGTACTCTGCTTAAGTGGCTTTTATGATGTTCCGCGGGCCAAGTCAAGGTAGAAAATTAACAGCACGGTTCTTTCATTCATACACGCCGTGAGTCATGAATCAGAGCTGTGTCAGGGAAAGCTCGGCATTACAAACTGTTGACCGCTGTGTTATACAGCCAGGGAGCCAGACACAAATAAAAGTTCTCTGTATACTCGTTCCTAAATACCATTTTTGGTAGGGCTTCTGCAGGCTGACTTCGAATGTAACTCTTGGGAAGTTACATTACACTGGTATCTGTATTACTAGCCCTGTCCTTCCCACTATAAAACACTGAAGATCAAATTCTCCCTCCCAAGCACTAATGCAGCGTGAAGCCACAACACCGGGGGCTGCTGGTGGGAAGGACCGAGAAACGCGCAAGTACACAACAGCTGTTCAAGACCCCCAAAGAGCCACCTTTGAAATTCTCTGCTTGATAAAGCCTGAAAGCCCGCCTACACGCCCAGGGCTTACACGTCCATTTAAAGCAGTACAGGAAAGAAAGGATTTTTGCGTAAGAAGAGAAAACATCCTGGCTTGAGCAGAGGGAAACCAAGCCTTGTCCATAAACCACTGCGGGCGCAGAGACTCTCATACTCACATACAGTTTCTGGCCGCCAAATCTCTGTGGACAAACTTTTTGCTGGCGAGGTATTTCATGCCCCTGGCTACTTGAAGACCAAAGCCGATCAGATCTTTCACAGTCGGGTTCTGCGAACAGAGTTGGAAAAGCGTAAGCTAAGCTGCTTAGAACCCACTGTTCTAACTCTGATCTTAGAGTCGTGAAATAGCTAAGAAAATTATCTTGTCTCAAATAACAAATAGTGCCCCGCTGGCAGCAGCAATTATTTGTCAAACATCTGCTGTCTATAAAGCAGTAGGCTAGACGTTTTTATGAATTATCACTAGTTCTTACGTATGTCTGTCAGGCAGGTGTTACAGCTCCACATTCCATCTGAGAAGCGGCCGTGTTCCACAGTGCAGATTTTATGCGCCGCCTCTCCTTCCTTTTTTGTCGTGCTGAGGACTGAACCTGGGGCTAACAAAGGTTAGGCAAGGGCTCTACCACCGAGCCGCATCCCAGCCCCAAGGTCATATCCTCCTACAGGTATGATGAGGCCAACAGCTCAGGAGACAGCTGGACGCTCGGGGTTTCTAAGAGGAGCGGCAATGCCTTGCCATGCAGGGTCACACGGGCAGGAGACTCCGAGGGTGGAGGGACCAGACAGGCAGGAGGGAGGGGAAGCCTCTGCTGTAGTTTCCACAGGAAGGCAAGGTGAGGCAGGCCGGGCCTGTGTAGGGTTGGCTCCTGGACTGATGTCTGTGAGCTTGGGGGGCGGGCAGGGCTCTGCCTTGTCGTAAGGGCAGCTGCTCACTGGCTGGAGTGTGGGCTCTGAAGTGGTTGATTCACCTGGGAAACGGGTATTCTGAAGGCCAACGGTTTAGAACCTCCAGGAATTAGCCCTGGGAGCAGCGGACTCTTCATGGTTAGCAGGCTCCAGATGTCAAAGCCTCAGAAACACACACAGGAGGCTCAGAGAGCAGCACATCACCGCAAGCCACTCAGATGTAGGTGGTATAGTTAGGGTTTTCTCCTCCTCCGTAGGCCAGGAAGGCTATAGGGGAGTGAAATCCATTCATGAGAAGTCCTCCTCCTGGGACTCAGCTCATGGCTCCTGGAATTCCGGGCCAGCAGAGAAGGCTCTCCACGAACTCCATACAGAACTGGATGGACACCTCTAATAAAGACGACGCGGTGGCTGACAGCCCTGAGTAGGGCCTGGCTATCAAGAAAGGGAATCTTTTCTTCAGCAGCCACTGTGGAGCTGGTGAGCAGAAGACACGGGCTGCAGCCCGCCTAATGCGCAGATGAGGGGCCAGCATCTGCGTCTGCAGCTTTTAAGGCATATTCGTGTTAGCGGTCGTCCCAGGATGGACTCCTTGGGTAACAGAAGGCCAGAGTACCACTCTCTCAGGATAACAGAGCTTTAACCCTGGGCAAACAATACCTCGAGGAGCTCGTGCGTCTGCGCAGACTCAGGCACCAGGGCAACGACGAGAGTAAAGTGGGTCTGCTCGGATGGCCGCACGCTCAGCAAGGTAAAGGCACGTCACCCGCCAAGTCCACTGCGAGGGAGCTGTTGTGTTCTTCTGCTTGAACACGGCGCACTGCTTCACTCTCTTCCAGCTTATCTTCTTGGGGAACTCGACACCGTGTTTTTAATGGTGTTTTGATCAAGAGTAACGCTATTCGGCTGATTCCCACAGAGACCTGGACTGAGGGAACCCAGAAGGGGCCTGAAGCTGTGGACGAATTCAGTTCTGGGGACTCTTTCCCTCCACCTTCTTTGGCCTGGCTGGCCAACATCTGCTCACCCGTTAGGGTCCTGGCATAAAATTGTCATAAAGAAAAGCCCCACCGGTGCGAGCTTACGACCCTCTTTTGTAAGCTCATTTACCCAACAAACACTGTTCAGAGCTATCTTAGGCTGTGGAGCTACAGAAATGAACAAAATACACCAAGATCCCCACCCTCGTGAGCGTGCATTCCAATGGCGTGTATGGACGCATGTATGTGCAGCACGCACATGTGTACAGTAAGAAAGGTAAAACTAATTTAATGTATTTGTCAATCCAACATATCCAATACATTATTTCAACTGGTAATCAATAACCAATTAGCAATGTACCAGTTTAGTCTCCTTGTTATACTAAACATTCAACATGGGTTTTTGTCACAGTGCTGGACAGCCCCAGCCCAGCGCATCAGATGACGGTAAGCGTGCTGGAGGGAAATAGAACAAAGGCCAGGAGACAGAGCGAGGGGAGACGACGGGGTCGGCCAGCTGCAATTTTAAACAGAGGAAGGAAGCTTCAGTTTGAACAAGACATTGGCACAAGCTGCTGAAGGAGATGATGGAGTAGGATGCATGGGCATCTGGAAGGAAGAGTGCTCCAGGCAGCTGGAGCAGCAGGTGCAAAGGTCCTGAGGTAGGAGTGTGCTGGCAAGCAGAGCAACAGGAAGGCATTCATTTGTAATTAAGTCTTTATGTCTCCTGGAGTTAAAACTCCATGTGGCTCTGTTAAAACATTGTTAAAACTCCACCTGTCTCCCTGTCCCTAGCTTCTGGCACGTAGTTAAGTACTCAAAGATGGTTTCAGCGGACCAGCTGGGACAGTAGAGCATGGCTGCTTGCCGAGCAGGTAAAGATGACTGCATTGACCTAGGACACTCGTCCAACTGTCTCACCATCCTAGCAGGACAGAAGATTCTGAGGTGCTCTTGAATAGTGCCGCATTTTACATAAATGGCTACCAGCTCTGTAAAAGGCTCACAGCAGCATATTCTCAAGGCATGGCCGGCCAGGAATGTACTCACGTGAGTCTCGTTCCGCAAGAAATTGCGAAGGTCTCCGTGCTGCATGTACGGCAGGACCACCAGCGGCGACCCCTCACTGCGAAGGCAGATGCCCAAGAGCGAGAGCACATTGGGATGGCGGAAATCCTTCATGATGATGCCCTCGGTCAGAAACTGGGAAACTTCTCCTATGTCCGTGATTCCTAAGAGATCGGGGCGGGGTGCGGGAGGTAACTTCACTATGGAACAGCGATTGCTTTGTCAACTTTGCAAAAAAGCGCCATGAAATGTGAAACCACAGGTCTCACCCTGCAAGAGCATCTAAGCAATGGGAACCCCGGGAGGGCAAAGGTGTGAGCACTTCTCACCCCGTGAGGGCCACAGCCCGCCTCTTACAGCTACAGAGAGGTCAGCAACAGACAGCCTGACAGGTTTATTTAACCACAGCTTTCTTAGTACACACTTGCGGCACACACTGGTTACACTTATCTCGGGACTTCGTACGAGCACGTAACACCTCAGTGCTAGTTCGCGCCCTGCCCCTCCGTCCCTCCCGGCCCCTCTTGGTCGCCTTCCCCTTCCCAGAAGCTCTATTTTTATTTTTTTCATTCAATTCTTTTGTTCATTCCCTTTTCCTCTCCCTCCCTCCTTTGTCTCCATTCCCATTTGAAAAAGAGCTCCTCGCTTCACATTATCTATCTTTTGTTTTGATCTTTATTTATATGGGTTTCTAATTTAACAGAAACCATGTGGTATTTAAGCTTCGGTGTCTAATGTACTTCACTTCATATTATGGAGTCAAGGTGCACCCATTTACCTGGGAATGTCTAGTAGTACTTGATTGTGTCTAAAGAGCACATTTGAAAAATCCATTCATCCGTTGATGGACATACAGACTGTTTCTAGGATTTAGTTATTATAAGTTGTGCTGCTATAAACATGGGTGTGCATGTATCACTATAATATGATGACTTTAACTATTTTGGGAAGATACCTAGAAGGGGAACAGGTAGGTCAAAAAATCAGAATTTTGGAAGACCCAGAAGCCTTCAGAAACAGATGCACGCATGCAGGGGAATGGTCCTTTTTCACTTGGATGTGATAAAGAACAGACAGGTGTGTAGAAACGTGTTGTGATCTGACGCTAACAGACTGAGGGGGAAACTCAGCAAGGCCTGTGTGTTCTGATTCTTCTTGGCCTCTTTGTGTAGCATTCCTTTTTCCTGGGTATAGGACAGGACTCCTCCTGCAGGGGTGCAGGGTATGGGACAGGACCTGGGTATAGGACAGGACCCCTCCTGCAGGGGTGCAGGGTATGGGACAGGACCTGGGTATAGGACAGGACCCCTCCGGAGGGGTGCAGGGTATAGGACAGGACCCCTTCTGCAGTAAGGGTCTTATGAGCTACTATCAGACAAGGTAGCTCAAAGAATTTCTTTACGGCCAGCTCCAAAGCAGAGAGAGGACAGTCCGAGTAGTACTTCTAGATGTTACAGCTGGCGCTGGGAGAAAGCGGCCCGAGTGTTGACGACCCACCTGCCTTGGGGAAGGGAATTCCCGTGGGGGAGAAGCGAGGGCAGGGAGGAAGGCAGCACAGGGTCAGGAAGAGCTGTGGACCCCGAGGCCCTCCACTGTCCCTCCGAGTTCCGAGCACGCGCTGGGCCCCAGCACCACGCCGCAGGCACTGTCTCTCGGGCCCCACAGTGTCACCCGGGGCCTTCCAATCGCCGCCCGCATCGCTTTTGCGAGACGGTTCCAGTAACCACCCCCTCGCACAGACTCCGTGTGCCTCACACGGACACGGCAGTAACTGTCAGGACACAGGCTGGCAGATTTGCTCTAAGGGTCAGACAGTACATACTTTTTGGTTTTGTAGGCCCCATGGACTCTAGGAAAATATTTAACTCTGCTGTAGACCCACGAAAGCAGCTACGCACAGTCCGACCCCCAGCGGCTGCGTCTCAATCAGCTTTATGGGGACAGGTGGTGCGACAGAGCCGACGGAGTCAAAGGCTGAGAGAACGTGAGGACCAGTCATCACACGGCACCTAAGGCGGCTTTTCTGGCACAGCAGTTTCTAACCATTTCCAGAGAGACATAACGAGGGTCCACTCTACTCAGCATTAGTGAAGAGGTAACAATGTTAATTTGCTAATTTTACTAGAATGTGTTTGGCGTTCCTGATGGCGCTGATGCTCTTTTACAAATGCGATACATTCTGAGACCTGCACAGATTCCCACAGTCGACATGGACTAGGAACCAGCACACGCAGCAACGGACAAAGATCTCTCGATGTGAGGGCCGTTCTGAGCACAGCTCTCTCATGAGGCAAACTGACTGACAGTCATACTTAGTTCATCACATTTTGCCATTATTTTTCATATAGACTGTGCTTTTAGTTATTTTGTGGTCAGACTCCCAACAAAATCAACCATACAGAATGGTGCTCGGCATAGAGGTTTATATTACAAAGGCCGGAACGGTTCTGGCAGTAGTGCGTATCTTGGAGGAAAACTTCCCATGGTGCACTTAATGCTCACTGATTCTAATGTAAATCCGTACTATGACCGGCCAACATATTCCAGGTTGGAAAATACAGACGGAAACATTATCATGGCAATATAACCTAGCACAAGCACTGTGAAAATCAGTATGGAGGTTCACCAAAAAAACTCAAGCTAAAAATTCCCTTTCACTCTCTCCTTGGTTTCTTCCTGAAGGAGTTAAAGGCACCGTAGTATGGTGATCCATGCACACCCATCTTACAGCAGCACAACTCATATTAGCTAAATCCTGAAAGTGACCTACATGCCCATCAACTGAATGGATAGAGAAAATGTTGTATGCACATAATGGAGTACTACTCAGCCATAAACAGGATGGATTTGAGTCACCAACAGGAAAACAAATGCACCTTTAGTCCGTAAGGCTAAGGGAATAAATCACACACAGAAGGCTGTTGCACGGCTTCTCTTACATGAGAAACCTAAAGTATAAGTAACTGAAAGAGCAAAGTAAAAGGTGAGAGGATACTGGAGACAGATTCTGTGCAGATGGGAAAGCGATCTGGAGATGGGAGAGATTACAGGGAAGATGGGAGGGGAAGTAACGGGGTTAAAACGAGCTATGTATGTGCACCAATCCCCGCCGTGAACGCGTCACAAGTACGTATTAATAAAGACAAAGAGAGTTAGACGTGAGAGCAGCAGAAAGGAGGCACGGGAGCTCTGTCAACGAAGGCGGAGCCCCGAACATCTCAGTATGCTGCACACATGGTAATTTACAGTGACAATTACGGTTCGGGGCATCAACAAAGATTAGTTTATATGTGGGAACGTTCTCTGTCTCATAGAGTATGGATTTCAACTTTAGAAGATTTTATAAAACTAGCTAAACTTTTCAGAAAGGTTCCAGAAGTAAAAGAGGGCAAGTCTCACCTCGTTAGGAAGTTCGATTATACAGACCCACTCACGCCCCAAACATGCGGATAAATGAGGTACGACCAGACTTACGGTATTTCAGTTTTCTGCCAGCATATTTCTCTCCTGTTTGTCTTATTTAATTTCTTTATCATTTTAGTGGAAGTTGTGGTTAAGAAATAATTATAGCAATGCCTCGGGGTAAAGTGAGTCATCATTATTGCCTGTGCCAACATGCTTCCCATAGTTTCCATAAATGTCATTTGTAAAACAAACACTACAAACCCAACAATGCTGAATGATACTCAAGTCCATCCAAGACTCTCCCTTCTCCCTCACCCTCACTAATGAGGGCCTGAGGGGTGCTTTCAGAGGGACAATTCTGGTAAGAGTCTAGACCAGTAAGACTTTCTCTAATTCAAACGAATTTCAGAGTTAGAGCTGCAATTTCAACAGTGACTGCTTTTGTCCCACAAGGGACAGTGTACATCTTCATTTTTACACGCTTTCCGTCAGTCTGAAAAGCACAGAACTGTCCTCCACTGCGAGGTAAGAGGGGAAGCGGCTTACTGTTCAAGGACTTCACAGCACAGTGGGTCCTCCCGCCATCATCGTCCAGCAGAGTGCCGTGGTAGACGCAGCCGAAGTGTCCTGCGAGAGAGACCAGGTTAGAGCCGTGTGACACTCAGGCAGGACCAGTAACCTACTAAGGCCCGCACGACCCGCCCAGGGCAAGACGTACACCGCTCTGATACTGTAACGTGCCCGAGTGTGTGGTACGCGCGTGTGTACACCCGTAGATGTGACCTATGTCTCTCTAGGATATAACAATGATTATTTATACATGGTAGAAGCCATAGGTGACACTACTGCTATTAAAAGTTGATATAATAAAAGTCAGATAGTAGAGCCACTGAAAACAGGTATAATACTTTGCATAAAAGAAATCTGTTATTTTTAAGGATCGAATATTTTTAAAATATGAAAATACAGTTTTGTCCCCATGACAAAATACAATAAAATAAGCTTCCTATATTCCGGTAAAAGAAAATGAAACAACAACATTACCCTTAATAATCAGAGGCGTGTTATAGAGTGAGGATTTCCCCCATTAGTCACAGGTTAATATGTAAGCCGGGTTGGCAGAAATTGAAAGTCAGCTGCCCCAGTGAAGCGAATTCACTGTGACTCATCGTGTGCGTTTCCCCCTAGCTTCAACCACACCACTTCCCCAGTGGCAGCCTTTCATCCCCGGCGGCAATTCTCCCTGAGGTGCCAGAAGCCTGACAGCGGTGCAAGGCACTCGCTGACTGACTCATCTACCCAGCCAAGATGTCCCAAAGGCCTATCTGTGAGTGTCAGGGATTAGCTACCCTCTTCTAACACAGAGGAATAAAGTAAAAGCCATGCTCCTGAGGTGCTTCTATCTTCCTGGAGAAAAACACAAAAGCAAAAAGCAGTTAATATATACAGGCTGTTGATGATTGTTTCTTCAACAGAGAAAGAACTGTCATTTCAGCACCTTTCATAATTAAAAAAAAAACTCAATTTTACAATGGGTAGAAATAGAACCCCATTATGAGGCTTCACACTACAACTGGCACCATTCCTGGGATTTACAGGCTGGTAACAGAGCCACTTCCTGCTGCGAGGTAAGCACAGGTCTGTGCACGACGACCCGCTCTCAGGGGGCGGGCAGCACACGCGGGGTCAAGCTGCGGCGCGTGTGGTGCGGGAGGGCGTGCACCACCACCGGGAGAGGACAACCTCGTGTTCATGGAAGGCAAACAGCCCCGTCAGCTTCTCTTGCGTTACAGTGGCACATGCCCGCATGACCTCTTGCAGTACATATAGCATAAAACAGATCATAGGCCATTCAGTATTCAGAGTAAAAGCATTTCAGAAAAAGAAAAAGAAAAAGAAAAAAAAGATTGGAGTTCACTTCCTGGCTTCTGGTTGCTTTCTTTTCCCGGTAAGTACTTCTTCGGATACTGTTTATACTAGCTGTTACTGCTGCTCTGGCGAGCTTATTACAAATACTCACTCCTCTTTGTATAAAGAAATCGGAGCGTGGTGTGGAGGTGATATATGCTGCTTCAGATCGGGGGAATGCTATAAACTTCCTGTCTCCTGGTGCTGTCCAACAGTGTAGAAGCTGCTACAAACCAGGGCTTCATGGGGTCTGTCACTGTTCTCAAGCCCGGAACGCGAGGGAATGACTCTCAACAGGAAGTCAACGGCATGGTCCAAGACACTACAGCTGCTAGCGTGATAAAGGAGACACGCTCCTTACTCCTGACGCCTCTGGGGAGTTATCCAGGTGCCTCCCTGCACAGGCAGGCATCCCCCGGATCTGATCTGCAGGGCTGTACTTCTGCAGACCAGAAGGCAAGCGCACTCACTATCAGTGCTGCCAGCTGCTCTCACCATTGTCTAAAGTCCGAATCCGCAAAGGCAGAAGATAAAGCGCTCACTGAACACCGCACTTAACACCAAGCAGAGTGGAAATACTTACCTCTTCCTATGACTTCACGGAAATGCACAACCAGGTCGCTGGGCCCAATCACTACATGCTGGACAGCTTGGACCAGCTCTGGATTCAGAGCGCTGAGGTCGATGTGGACCGTATTTTGCAGCAATGGGCTGGATACATCCGAGTCTCCACTATTTGGGGTGGGGGACAGGTCCGTCAGAGGCCCTTGTCCGCACGATCCATTCTGAGAGGAGTTAGGGAACTCGTCTGCAGCACAAAGCACAATTATAAAAATGCAACAGCGAAACTTCACCTCGTGGAGACTGCAGACGGGCAGCAAACTGAATTATCAGTGAAGGCCCGACTGTAACACTGAAGAAGCGCTGGTTGTAATTCCGGGCGAGGCTCGGGGCCGCCCCTGACAAAAATGGCATAGTGGGTTGGGAGGAAACACTGGCTTCCTTTGTAACGTGTTTCCGCTTTTCTTTTATGTAGGCTAAGTGTTAACTGTGAAAGCCACTTACTCGCATTTCCATACACATTTTCCTTTTCATTAATAGCAAAAAGTAAGGCTGAAGTTTATTGTGAGTACGTTATATCTTTAAGAATGAGAACCAGCAAGTTGGTCTCAAAAAGTTCAGTGTAAATTTAAGATAACAAAAAAGCTTCCTTTTGAGAGAGGTGGTTATTAACGGAAATAATTAGTATTATGGAAATCTACATGAATTCCCAAACAAGGAAAAGTATATGTTGAAATATATATAATTACATACAGATTGAGTACCCTGATCTGCAATGCTTGGAATCAGAAGTACCGTATTCCCGACTTTATTAGATTTTAGGGTAGCTGCAGGGAGTTTACCGGCTGAGCATCCCTGATCTGCAATGTACAAAACGCCGCAACTTTTGGGCATCGTACCAGTGATCACGAAGTTCTACATGTGGAAGCGCTGAGCGTTTCAGGTTTTTAAGTCAGGGATGCTCAATCCATACATATAATTATATACACGTGATTAGAAATGCATAAAGCTGACATTTTCAGAAATGAGAGTTTCTCACAGTAGTGTACATTCTCCACCTGAGGGTCCTGGCCGTGGATGTACTGCTACCATCATTCAGAGCGGGCAGCTGGGACCTGGGTTTGTGCAGAACCCCACTGCCTAGCTGAGGGCATTTGGACAGGAGCTCCCTGTTGTGTTTTCTGTGGTGGAGAGTTGGTTAATAATACATACCTGGCCAGTGAATCTCAAAATCGCTTCCAGAAAAGTCTGTGGGGTACCCATAGTCACGGTAATCACTGTCTGGAAAGACAGATGCAACCTTAAAGCGGGGGTGCAGAATGCTGGGGGAGCATCTGAAATGTTGGGCTGGGAGAGGAAGGAGCAAGCAAGCTTCATAGATGCCTGCTCCTTAGATCCCCAGGAGTCAGGTCCTCCAAGCCTTCCTCAGGGGACTGGAAGGCAACCAAGCCTCTCAGAGCTCCTACCTTCACCCTCGCTTTCTAAAGCTTTGCTCTGGGAGATCAGAGCTATAGATCCTTGGGGTTGCAAGGGACAGAGGGAAATCTGTAGTGAGATGCAGGACTAAAGCCCTCTGGCAGGGAAATTCTACTGACGCTTTAGCTAAGTTCAAGCAAGTATAGAAACCAAAACCATGTCTCTGTGGTGGACCACCACAGAGAATTCCGGGTCTTCTGTTAGAATAACCCTTCGAGAAATGCAAATTCCGGGTCTTCTAAAGACTCTCAGGTTACCCCACTAGTGACAGCTGCGGGCTGTGCACTCTCCTCGGTCTTCTCTACAGAAGCTCCTCACGTTTCCAAAGAAGGTTTACAGTGGAGAGGGGAAAGAAGCCCCTTGTTCTGAGCAGTGACGTCAGAGGTTTGCTGAGCAAGGAGCTTGGAAGGTTACAGAAGCTTCTCAAGTTACTGTGAACTCTAATCTTTTCAGGTTAGTCATCAAATATGAATACAGAATACTAACTAGATCGAAATTTCAGAACTGTAAACTAGGGTTTGATTTGTCCATATTGTTACAGAGTGGATTTCTAAAGGTGAGCAGTCATGTGGGCAAAGATCACGGTCACAGAGGCAGCGAGTGGTTAAAAATGGTAGCATGTTTTTGAGCAGTTTCTTTCTGTTTCACTATATCTATTGTACCTTTTGGATTTTATTTACTCTTTCAGTTTCTTACACTAGGGAGACAATATGATGTTCACATATGCATGTCTGATTTATTTCACCTATAAGTATGGTCGCTAGTTGCATCCATTTACCTATAAAAGCCTTGAGTTTTATCTTTCTTTATAGCTGAGTAGTACTCCATTGTATAAAAATATCGTATCTTAAAAGGAAAGAACAACTGGGATGGGGGAAAGGAGAAAAGAAAGAAAGAAGGAAGGGGGAAAAATATATATATACACACACAAGCTAGCTAAGATAATTATACTACGCAGTTCTATTGCTTTATTGAAAGGAACAGTTAGTGCTTAATTGATCAGTTTTACAAGCCTGTATCTGGTCATCTGAGCAACTACTTTGAAGGTAACAATATGCAATATAACAACCATTGTTAATTTCCTATCATCTTGTTTTGAAATTCTGTATTGTTCTTGTTTTTCTATTTTATTTTTTATTCTCTTAAAAATTATTCTCACTAAAAAGTTAACATGTTGAGCTTCACTGCTCTCGTGTTAGGATGAGCACCTTTTAACTTTCCAGTATCTGCAACCGTCTGTGACTCACTTTATTTGTCCAGTGGTAAATATTAAACCAGGGAAATACTGGCACTTGACTCATGTCCTGTAACTTCTAAAGATAATGGAGTTGGTACAATACAGACATTTTGCTTTGACCAGGAAATTTTTAAATAAAACAATGAGAAATGCTCTGGCTACCCTGACCGTTATTATTAGGCCTGATGTTTTGCAAAGCAGATGATGTTGACCTCTCCTCGCTTGATAGCAGAACTGAAGGTTATTCTTGGACAAGACTCAAAGTGTATTCAGTTCCTAGAATGTAGTAGGTAAAAGGCTGTGTTTATTGAGAATGCTTCTTACTAATGGTATAATTCAAATGTTTAGGATTCAATGAATGTAGCAATTCCAACTTATATTTAAGCAAAACTATGTTTTGTAACTTAATTTGGAGTTGTTGAAGTGTTCATGTTTATTAACATCATGCTCTGGTGATAAGTAAGTTACCATGGCTCAAATTTTAAAATTATCTTTTTTCTGTGAGATGAAAGCTCACAGACTCCAGAATCAGAAAATACACATGGGTTCTTTAAAAATAGGAACCACTGCTAATGCCCTGCAACTGTCCTACCAGCCTGTTTCAAAACCTGGAAATGTATCAACCACTGTAACAACCACATACCAACTATTCTAATCGTCCTACAACCTGTTTCATTGTTTGTTTATCATTTTTCTCTTTAAAATAAAAAAAAATTAAAGTAAGAGCGATGTAATCCTGTGTCAGGCGGCGTCAAACAATCCTGGGTTTGGCAGAAGTAAGCGCTTTTTCACTTTTACAAAAATATAAAGGCAAAAAGCAAAACAACCACAACGTCACAACCCAAAGAGGTATGTGTATAGTTATTTCTAGAACAAAAAACTAAGGTTTACCTTCTGAGAAAGTAGCTCGGTAGTCCACAGACTCATTTGAAACCATTTCTGTAGCTGTGTTCGCACTTCGGGCACTGACAAGTCTATCCAGATGAGGGGTGTGGACTCTCCCGTCGTAGCGAACGACGTCATTGCCCAGATCTTAGAACAGCAAGAAAGAGCTCGTTAGAGACTTGGCAATCACGGTCCCTGTTTGTGTTTGACCTAGTGTTAAGCACGGGTTTTACGGCTTACACACAGGACGGCACATAAGATCTATGACAACGTTAAACTGTACTGGCCGTATTCTCAGGACAACTTCTTAAAACAAGCAATGCAGAAAATGCAAAAAAAAAAAAGTACCTGCCATTCGCTTTCTCTTTTTCAGCCACAGGAAAAGCCCAAGTGACGTTAAAAGCATCACATATATCGAGACAACGCTAACAATCAATACTGTGAAATTCCGATTCTGCCGAACTATTACTTTTCCAAGCACAGTTGAAGAGATTGCTTGCTTCCACTGAAAAATGATGAAGAAGAGTCAGAGTTTGGCCATGATCGGTATGTTACCCAGGTGGAATCCCAGTTTCTCTGGGTGTCAAATCCCACAGGGCTGTTATCACCACGGGAGAGGCCTACTCACCCTCAGAGTAATGAGACTCCGCAGTTCTGCTTCCATGCTCAAATACTTGGGAACACTGCTTCCCATATTATGGAAATACTTCTATAACGTTTATTGGTTTGTATTTGTAACTATGCACTAGAGATAAAAAAGACTCTGATCTTGAGGAACTCATGTGTGTTAAGGGAGATTTATATAAATAATTATAGTGTAATATGAAATGTGCCGTATCAGTATAAGCAAATAGTAAAAAATCAGTTCTGTCCCATTAGAGAAGATGGAGTGGATGGCAGAGAAGATTTACCATAAGAGGCAAATAATCGTATTATAATGGGACAATAAAGTCTCAGAATATTTTATTTCTGTTTTGATACACAGAAGAAATCTTGGAGGCCCCTTCTAGCTCTATTTTAGCATTTTATGTTTTTTAGGCCTTATGGTCACTCTGAAATGCCAACTCTGATTTCATGATTCAGGCTTAGATTTTATGATCTTTTTGCATGTTTTCATTTCATAAATTTTATCCTCCTTAGCTTTTTGGAAGATTTCAGGAACCCTTTGAAGACCACTTATTCTTAGATAAACAAACTGTGGAACATACACAACGAAATACTATTAAACCACAAAAAGGAACAAAGGAACAGCACATGGCCATACATGGATGAACCCTGAAAACTTGTGCTCAGTGCATCAGACCCCAAAGCACGAATACTGCATGATTCCACCGACATGAAATATCTCGAACAGGCAAAGCCTTAGCAACAAGAAGTAGCCTGGCGGTTACCAGGGGCTGACGAGACCGGGGAATGTGAAGTTACTGCTTAGTGGGTCCAGAGTTTCTGTCTGGGGTGATGAAAAGGTTTTCTGGAATGTGACAGTGGATGATTACACTGAGTGCAATACATACCACCGAACTGTACATTTAAAATGGTTCAATGACAAATTTTATGTTATACGTATTTTCCCACAATTTAAAGAAGTTCATGATGTGATACACCAAACCCACTGAATGGTACACTTTAAATGGGTACACTGTGTGACAGGTGAGTTACATCACAATAAAGCTGTGAGAAATGAAGACAAAATACCACTCTGGTTCCAGGTTATCCGACTGAGCTGCCTCCATGGAAGCAGCTACTGGAAACAGTGTAACCCTTCCTGTAGTGTCTAGGGCACAAGTCTTTACTTCTGGGGTTCCACGTACTTGCAGTCACTGCAGTGGGCAGTGTGACAGGTGGGGAGGAGGGTACTCTGAGGTCTGTCCTTTTCTTCCTGAGAATTACAGTAAAGTTTGGCAGGAGTGTGACACTATGCAGAGCCAGCCTGGGTAGGAAGAACTTTGGAGACCTGGCCTGCAAAGCCTGGGGAAGGAGGCAGTGTGACAGAAACACTTACTGTTTCTAGAATAACAACTAGGAATTGAGCTTGAGCTGATGAGCCACAGCCAGCCCACAAATGAGCCTTAATGATGTATTTTAAGCCCGCGAGTGACATAATTAGGCTGGCATCCTTATTTACATCATGAGAGGAGTGCAGGAACCCCTACCTCTATATTTAGCTCGCTGTTCAGCTGCAGCAGGTCATTGGGGACCGTACACAAAACAGCCTCAGCCTGAGGCTCCACATTCTCACAGCTCTGATTTCCAACTTTTAACACATCACCTTTGACTGCTTCAGGGTCAATGTCATCTCCCTGGAAGGGAAAAAAAGAGGTTGTTAACACTGCAGATTTGCAAGAATGCTTACAATTGCGCAGGAGCGTAAACTCTACAAGCACAGGCCGAGCTGTTGTTCGCCAAGGCTCCTGATTTTATTGTGGTGCTTGTTTTCAAGGGGATGGGAATGGCTGAAGGAAGCATGAGCCCTTCAGGGCGCTAGTCAGGAAATACAGGACAGCGCTTTTTCACCCAACTGAATTTTAGAGGAAGAGGAAGAAGATACAGTTTTCTGTCTTACACTGAATGGTGTCTTAGCCATGAGCACCTGTCACTGTCTCCAGCAGGTACTGGTGTCTGACCAAGAAAAGCCGTCTGGAGACCCAGTTAGTTGCTGCACCGCCTAATGCTGATCAACTACCTTGGCTCCACTTTTAGTCATACTGAGAGCTGCGAAAGCACTCATGCTTGGGTCCCACGCTTCCAGAGAGAGGATGGAACTTCTCTGCGCCAGTCCACTCTTCTTCTGTTCGAGTTGGACAGTTTTTTTCACGCTTCTTGCACACTTAAACCCTATACCTAAAAGAACTCTTCTTCAAGGAAATTCCCGTAAGATATGCCATGTTCTTCATTATGATGCAAGAGCGCAATTACAGTACTGTATTACAAAAAGCTATATAGTTACAGGAAGATTGTAAAAAATTTACTCAACCTGACATATTTAGTTAACTGAGTTATCAGGAATTTAGTTTCTATCAGCATTTGGTTGAAGAATCCAATCATTAGCCTTGAGAAAGCAGCACAAATACGAGTATCATTTCCCATATCTACTTGGTAATGAGTACAGTTACTCAGTCAACAAGCTGTTACTTTGAGAAGAGATCTATCAAAACCTGTAACTATACTCCTTATGAACAAACAGCAGCCAGTATAACTACAGGCTTGCTACTGTATCTTATATAACCTTCAGTACTTAGCAAACTGCTTTCCCATACACTGTCTCAAGTGAATCACGAAGGTCAGATATTACATATTACAGAGGTCAGAACCGCACGGTGCTCATGGTCCCTAGGAAAGGGAGCTGAAAGAAGATGCTTCTTACAGCATGGAGCTGGACTCTGAGATAAGATGACCACAGAAAAATGGCATCCTGGTATTTCTGAGGCAGCCTGAGCAATCCACTGATCCAGGCCAGCCACCCAGGGCAATTCAACATAGAAACACATAAATCTATGAGGTCACCTTGGGGCTTCAAATGGCAGCTTGTTGGTTACGTCTGAGGAGGGCAAGGGATCTTACATACTGAGGGAATTCAGAGAATGACAGAGGAAAGAGATTAAAGAGCAGGAGGATTTGATTTATGGCAGAAACACTAGCATGTGTCCTGCTTGCTAAGAGCATAACCACGGCTGGGGGAAGGGGTGTGACCCTCCATTTACATCTTCAACACTCCTTCTTTTGGGGCTTGGGGGCCATGGATGTTAGGTAAAAGGAAAACAAAGCAGATCAAACAGCTGAACAACTGCTCCTTCCCCACGCACTCCTACCAAGAAACACATACTGCACAATGCTGCACGTAAGAAAGTATTGTTTTGTAACTGTTTTAAAGGCCGGAAAGCCTAGGTGTCATGGAAGTGAGCTGGGCCTGTGTGAGGACAGCTGATTTCTACCTGTAGGCTACTGCACTCAAGGTAAACAGCTCCAGCAAGCTATGAAAAGTGTATACACTTAGAACTTTCTACTTTTACTATTGATTATTAAGTATGATTAAATAGAACAAATTTATGCAATCAGTTTAACTCTATGGGCTTTTAAACGAAGTGACATAACAAGCTTTCTGATATTTAACCCCTTACACGTGTAGAACACTTTAGAGTTACAATTATTGCACTTTATCCTGCAAAGCCATGGTCTCCTCCCAGATAGGTATGATTAGTGTCCCTGCTTTACGTACGGAGAACTGAGCTTATAGAGAGGCCTGGGTAACTGACACAAATCAAATCCTATTTGATGCAGAGCCCACTGGCCGCTCACGGTGTGTCGTCCACAGGCTTAGTCACCATGCGTATGAAGGTGAACAGCAGTGTCCTCCTCCAGTGTTAAAATGGACACATTTCTGAAACAAGCACAGTGACTCCTACTGCGTCACACACGGTGGGGCTTGTCCCTCTGCGCTAACGCTGGCCAGACACGACGTAAGGTTCTCACTCAGCCTTCAGGCCTGGGGATGCCGCACGTTTGCGGAGGCGATGTGGACGCACAGTGTCTGAAAACGGCATTCAAACAGAAGGGATCCGGCAGGTCTCGGCCCTCGGGTCCCACGGGCAGGCTGCAGAGAGCAGGTGGAAGCAGGAGGTGCAGGGCAGTAGCAGGACCCATCAGGCAATGGCTCTGACCACGGAGGTGAACAGTTGAAAATCAGCTAGTTGTTGCTGGTGGGGATGCTATTCAGACTTCACCTCGAGGGTGTGAGTCCCTCGGGTTAGAAAGCAGGCCAAAGAACTGTCACAGAAAGCTCCGAAATTGAGTTTCACAGTACGTCAACAGGCAACTAAGGAGCAAACGCTCTGGACGTGTGAGAAAAGCAGGGCAGACCAAAATTAAGTGGTTCTTAACTGGCTGCTCGGGAGGCCTTCCCCACTTACTTCCCCGAAGAACCTTTCCATTAGGCCCTGTGGAGCCGCAGGCGGTGTCCACGTGCCTGGGATACACCCTTCCACAGAACCCGTTACCGTTCGCAGCACAGGGTAATACTGTTTGCCAGTACCGTATGCACGCTGTCAAATCAGCGTGGGGAAGAGAACCCTCCCCGTCTTGTCTGGACTGGGAACAGGCTGTGTGGTAGCTGCGGCCAGGATGGGGTCTAGGGTTCCAGGTGAAGTGGCTGGAGGATGCAGGAGACAACCCTGGCTGCCTCTGGCCAGCAGGTGGGCTGGGCGGGCTCAGAACGCGCTCCCTTTTAGACCATTCTGATGCCCAAGGCACTGACGCTTGATCTTCGCCTGCGCTTCCAACATCATCCGGTGTTCCTCACCCCCGAGTCCCTGCTCTCCGCTTTAGTTCATCTTCCTGCCTCCTTGTCCTGCAGAGCTGAGCTCTCCAGACTGAAATCTTGAAGCATGTCTGTTTCCAAATATTCCTGTGTGCTCCAGAACAAGATGAACTCCCAGGGAACTGTCGGTCAGCACTAACTACTCTACCTGTGTGCTTTCTATAAAATATATTCATGCACAAAATGGCAGACTGTAAGATAATTACAGAAAATAGCAGCTTTCTTTCAACAAAGTAAAATTTTAGATATTCTGAGAAAGCTTAGTACTACACTTAAAGAACGGTATTAATATGTACATACCATAGCCCTTTTATTGTGAGACGATTTTCTGTTACAGAAGTTCCTTTAATGCACAGTAAATGGAAGTTAATATGGGAAGCATTGTAATTTTAGTGGAATTTGGACTCAAGAAGCTTAAAGGAAGTCCTACTTCTTCTGTTTGTTCCCTAGCTGACCCTAAGACAAGTAAGGCTTCTTTCTGTTAATTTGCCTATAAATGCATGTCATCTTTACTGACCTCCCCTGTAAGAGTCAAGTGAAATAACCTAGGTCAAAGTCCTGTATGAACTGTAAAATTCCTCGTAACCGTCAGCAGTTGTTGACAAGAGCTTCACGTCCTACTGCGTACTTCCACAGTGATGTCTACACCAGAGGCCCACGGTCTGCAGCTGGGCCTGGTGGGCTGCAGCCCTGACCGTAACTACCTGCTGCATCTGCAGGGCATCTGGCTCGTGCTGAGGAGCGACTGGTCTTTGGGCCCCACTGTGCTGCGGTGCCCCAAACCTGGCTGAGCCTTTCACCCACGGTGTAGTCACTGGGCCAACTATTCGTAGCCAGCGCTCACCACTGGGGCTGGAGATCACTGCCAGCCCTCCTTGGCCAAGGAATCTTCTCAGACATGGCTGGTGGCGGAGCATGAACTCCTCCTGGGAGTAAAGAATAAGCTTCACTCTTAACTCGGTAAGAGGCAAATACACTTTACCCTCATGCTTTGATCGGAAACTGCACAAGAGCGTCTCATAGAAACACTCTACTGCTCATCCGCAACAGGCCTTTTCTTTTCTTTTCTCAAGTTTCACTTTCCTTTGTTCCTTCTCTAAGAGAGGCAGAGGTCTCAATTGATTGACTTTAGAAATTAAGAAAGGGTTAAATTTCTGTCACAACAGCCAAAGTACGGTGACTTCTACCTGTAATCTCAGCACTCTGGGAGGCTGAGGCAGGAAGATTGCAAGTCAGAGGCTGGCAATTTAGCAAGACCCTGTCTCAAGAGGCCGGGAATGCAGGTCAGTGTGGGGCCAAGGTTTAATCCCTAAGAACTAAAAAAAAATTTTTTTGTCACAAAAATACTCTCCTACATCTTCGATTTCCTCTTATACTTAAGGAAAGTGGGGTATGGGCATATACTGAATGTTCCCTTAGCGTATTACTGCTCTGTGTTATGGCAGGTGCTATATACTCAGGAGAGAAAACGAGTGAATCTTCGCAGTCATGAGAAGGAAGGCTTTTGTGCCGTCTCCAGAGGCGCCGTGGGCCATGGTGGACTAACAGTAACAGGCCGATGCTGTGAAGCCACGTTCTCCTTGGTCCGGCAATTTTGGAGGATGTTGGGTAACGGGCATTTGGAACTTTTCTCTTCTGTACAATACCCTGTGTAGAAGGGTGGATAAAGAGCCATTTATCTCTAATAGGTCCATCACAGATATAGGAACACAAAATGGAATTTCTCTGTGCGTAGAACTATTTGCACATAAACTTTGTTTTCAACAAGAAAAACCAAACGGAATCTTTCAAATGGCAAACACAGTAACTGCTGAAAGCAAAGGTCACACTAGATTAATTTTATTGAAGAAAAAGTGATAAAAGCACTTTCTGGTTTTCTAAAACTAATTAAAGCAGCAGATGAAAGAACTTTGCTGTGGTTAGCACACTGCTCACTGCGGCAGGCTTCCGTTTAATTTCATGCTGGGTTTGCTTAGTTATTGCACAGAACACAACTGTGAGGCTAGTAAACTTGTGTGAGTGTGATGCTGGGACGGGCTGCGGATAATATCTTTTTGGAAAGCAGAAAAACTTCAGTGGAAACATATTACTTAGATGGAAATGAGCCATGACAACTTCTACTACATCAAAATAAGGACTCGCCTCGTGCTTTGTGTTTGTATTTGCATTCGTATGACCTTTCAGGAAAAACATTCTGAATTCTAAAACAACATGCTGAAGGGTAGATATCTGGCTCTTTTTAGTGGCTGGGACATGGATAAAGAAGGTCTTGATAGCTTTGCTGTTCTATCACCCTGTGAAGCATACATGACTGAAGTTGCACAGAAGAGCTGTGTTCTAACTCTGCTCTGCCACCATTTTACCACTTGTCAAACCGTTTAACCTCTCTAGGCCTCATGGGTCTTCATCTGCAACAGGCTGGCTTACAAAAGATGATCTGTGACTGCCAGTGCTGTGTCGAGATGTCCCCCCAAAGCCTCCTGTGGTCACGGGGCTTTTTCAGAGGTGGCTAAACCTAGAGCTTGTGATGCTGGGATTAAGGGGGTGTGATTACTAGATCAGTCTACTGACTCATTTGACACTGCCCTAGTCCTAACAGCCAAGATACAATAGAAAAGGGGCAGAAAGAAGCTGCTAAGGTCCCTGGCCTGCTGTGCTACCTCTGCCCACCATGAACTGTTTTTCCTCTGTGATTCCCCTCTGCCATGAGCCACCCTGCCTTGGAGCCAGCTGATTATGGACTGAAATCTCTACAAACTGGGAGCCAAATAAACCTTCCCTCAACTTTGGGCATCAGGTATTTTGTCTCAGCAATGAGAAAAGTAATTACGACAGTTATTTTCTATTGAAGTATATTTAGAGGGTAATATATTCCTATGGTGCTGGAAATCCAGTTCCCTGTATAAATCAGTTTAGAAATGACTACAACAGATATAAAACTGCAAATATCACGAAGAACTACAATGGACACAATTGCTCTCACAGCCCTTACTTTTCATCTTGTCATGAGCACAGTTATGTGCTATCTTCAGGTGAACTGTGTGACATCATCAGGGTAAGGGATTGCTGGGAGTCTATTCAACAGATTTGTGTCCTGCATTTCCTAGTTTTAAATATACGCACAGGCAATGTTTTTAAATGCTTCACTGGCAAGCAATCCACAATTAAACTTACCTTTTAGTCTTATGCAAACAAAGATTTGTGTTTTAGACTTTAGATATTTGCTGATGTGGCATAAGATGTAACGGCCAAGTACAATGACTCTATTCACGTAGCTGGGAAGTCAATGAAGTTCGTGATGATTATTTAAGGGACCGTTTTAAGCAGTTCTTACCTTAATTTCCAGTACATTCGCATTGCCCATGGAGACCATCACTGGCTTTTCAAAATGCTTAAAGCTGGGATCATGCACATAAATGAGATCAAAGGACTTGGAAAGGATCCCATCCAACATGAAGAAGGCTTTGGTCTTCAGGGGGAGCTTCATGTTCAGCTGCTGCAGGGAAGGCGTGGCACAGCAGACGATCTCTGAGTTAGAGCGATGCTGGCATGCCTACAGGAAGACAATTACCCACTGTCAACAGGGTGTAGCCTGACATAGCAACTGTCATATTTCGTAACTTCAGACAATCAACTGAAAACACAGAATTGTCAAGAAAATCTGCATTTAGCTTCCAAATGTTGAAGAAAACATTTCTGGGAACATGAGAAATGTAACATTTTCCAAACATCCCAGGCTTCAAAGTTCCAGGGCTTCACTTGCCCACAGTATGCTCTGTGGACCTATCTGCAGATTGTCCTTTCTCCGCTGTTTTATTTTCCTTATGCCACAACCGTTACCTGCAGGGACTGCCTCCTGGGCTTCTGAGGCAGCTCTGGCTGAGCTGGCGCTGCCCTTTCTGGGGGTACATGGCCTTGGTTCAGATCCTAGCTTTAACTCAAGCTGTGAGAACTGACACAGAGCTCTTATTGTTTCCTCATTTGGAAATTAAGATTAAGATTTTATTCATAACGCAAGATACTACCTGGTAAAGTGCTTTGTGTACCGCCAAGCTCCATACGCTTACCAGTGTAACTAACTATGTAGTTAGAGAATCTTATTATTGTGCTTTAAGCTTTTAATTACTATCAGGTTCTGTGCAAAATGCTTCACAAAGCTGGTCTTCTGATAACCTATAGGTAGATGTTACGAGCATCCTGTTTAGAGATAAAGGAACTGGAGCTTTTCGAATGTGTCTCCCTTAGACCCAGGTCACATATTTCTGAGAAGAATAGGGTCCTCATATCCGAGGCCATTAGTATCAACACTCACTCTCTTCACCCCAGTGACCTACCTTAGTCAGTACACCATCTATATGGGTAAATCTTTTCCTGTGCTCTCTATTCTACAAAGGTTCTGCTATTGTTATTTCATGCCCTTTCATCTTTCACTTCAAATCTTCCCCTTTGAAATTCTGATTTATGGAATTTTGGAAAATGTGGTTTCCTCTTGATTATACTTCGGCTAAAACTAGCAACACAAAGTGGTAAGTTTTAAGGTTAAATGGTTGCTTTCCCCCAAGGAAAAGATAAACAAGCAACAACATCCCTTACATTTCCTTTTCTTTAGCAAGTTTAGTTGGAGATAAAACAATTACTTATGCTCACAATAGAAAAAGCCTCAGGATATACATAAAAAGCACCGACAGATTCTGGTGTTTGACATTTTCTTTAAAAAGTTATTCAAAAAAATTATTCTCCATTAAAAAGTATATGTTAGAAGCAGGTAAAACTGACAGATACAATGTGAATAAAATATATTATTTAGTTTTAGATCAAATCAGTGTCATACTGCTAAAAGCTGTTTTTTTTCAGTGCGTGGGATCTATTCCAAGTCTGGTGCAAGTGAGACAAGTGCCACTGCCGAGCTACATCCTCCGCCCTGCTCCACTCATCTTGAAAAATGGAAACAAACAATTTTACTGCCTGTTACCACAATACTTCTGCACTAACATCAACTTTGAAATGACGCCGGAAACTGTGGGCATCTGGGTTATAATGTGCATTAACAAACTAATACACATTTGCTTAAGAAGTGAATTATTTTTACTTAAAAATACTTAAATGGAATGAAAGTTGTTGAGGCTGGATCTACATATATCTAAATCAGACCTGGCCATGAGTTTTTGTTTGTTAAGTAATAAACAGGTTCAATTCTTCATCTTCAGACTCTGTAAGGGTCAGGGAACATGGAAAGAACACATTTTTTTATGAGTTTCCACAAACAACAGGAAAATAGTAAAGAGTAAAACACAGCCACTGAATTTTCATTCCCATGCAACCCTCACGCCCAGTTCTATTGTGCCAACACCTCTGTGGCTGAAAACGGTCGGAGTTTACATTTCCAGGTATGTAAACAGATTAAGATTTTTATCTCCTGTCACTGTTGGGACTCTTTTTGGAAACATGCACCTCTTATGTCTGACACCTGGAAGATTTTCTTTTAAAAAAATCTGATTATAAATAAATGAATGAAGCTGAGCTGTTCTTTGTATTATCTTAATGCTGGCAAGGGAGGAAAAAGTAAATCTAGCCACCATTTTAATAATGTAGACTTGATATTAATCAGCTAATCTAACAGTTCCTCGGATTTCCACTTGAAAAAGTTCCATGCCAATGCCAAAGGGGGCTACTATTACTCTGATTTGGTGAATGGAAAATTGCTATGCTTGCTTGTGGAGAATTGACATCCTCTAAATTAATAGCGGTGGTATTTTAACTTTGTTTGTGGCCATGTGTGGGGACTGGCTTCAAAGCCCTTTACTTCATGCTGTGACTCCCCAGAGGACCATCTCTAGGAATATGATAAAAATCTAATAATACCCGTTAGAGGTGATGCAATGTGGCTGATTGAGAAGGTCAAGAAAAATCTCATTTGAGATGACCTTATTGTTTGGTGATTTAGTTTGACATTTTTAGCCTCAGATTGGTTTTTGTAATTAAAGAACACAGTGGCTTTAGTCTTCAAGATATATTGGATGGGGAATCTCAAAGAAAGCGTTGTAATTCAATCAATCACCTACACTCAGGACCACGTTTGAGCTGGAGCACTCAGAACTTTCATTCTAAGTTGAATGAACAAGTCCAACTAGATTATAGCATCTTATAATAGCCATCAACAAAAGGTACACAATCTTTGGAAATAACTCCACCTTAAGTTTCAGACTGAAACTGCCTTCTCAATATGACCTGCTGAAATTGTTAGAGCATAAAATAGATTAATCATTCAGTCAAAGTCAAAATGGCCTTGCAACTAAAATAGGAAAGGTAGAGAAATGACAAACGGCATCCACACTCTAGGACAGGCTGCAGTCTAATGCTGTGGCTTAGTACTTGATAGTGTGCTAACAAAGGGACAAGCCTGGTGAAAGAACAGGGCGAGTGTAAGGAAATACTGGGTATTTGCTGGTTAGAAGGACAAGAATGCTGCTCCAAGACCACAGGCCTTATCTGAGAGTTTTCTTAGAATGAGAGGGTCCGTATTCTACGTGGAATTACAAAGGTGCACAGAAGAATGCTATGATTTTTTTCTCATACAGACTGTCTTTATAAAAACAGTGCCTCCAACTGGAAATCTTAATTCATGTCTAAACACTGCATGTTTGTGTTTACATCATCCCAAGGTGCTAGACAATCTTAATTGCTGAACTAAAAAATATGCAGCAAAGAAGGTAAACAGTGAACACTCGAGGCAAAATCAGAATGTCCCGTGTGCCCCGACAGTCAGGCGGCAGGGCTCCGGGCGCAGCTGTCCCAAGGACTCACCACGGTGTAGGTCTTTCCAGCTTCCTGCACGTTTATCACCAGCCTTGGCATGCTGACTGAATCCAGGTTTTTTCCAACACCTGTTATTGTGCTTCCACCACTGGCAAAATAAAATAGAAAAACGGTAATATCGAGAGGTTCTTTCCAGCGAGTATTTTCAGAGAGGTTCAGCCTTGTCACACAGGCAATGATCCACCCAAGTCAAGTGGAAGCGGAGGGGCAATTCTTCATTGGAAACAACTCATTTAACTTGAAAATGTTTTTTAAAATTTGTATTTCATAAGCTAAACAAAGAGGCCTTTGGGTTTTTATTCACCAAATATACAAAAGAAGTATTTCTTCTCTCTAAAAAAGGAAAGGAAAAATGTACGTTAACTACTGTTGCTAGACAGACAGAATTCATGGACACAGGGCAGACTGAACTGGCGCCAGTGAGATACTAATTCAGAGGGAGTTTAGGGTAGGAAACAGCCGTGGGGAAAGCAGGCTGGACAAAACACACTGAAGGATGGAAGGAGAGGGTGCTTCTACGCTGGATACTGTGGCTGGTATAGTTCACACGCCCGACATCCAAGTGCACGCATGCTGCGGTGCCACAATGAACTGTTTTGCTGCAGTGCATGTAAAATCGAGCTGAACGTGAAATGTCTGTGGGCTTGAACTGGCACTGAGGAGGTCAAACGGTACCCAGAATCTGAACGTGATTTTCTCCACTGAACTGCGAAGAAAGCCTTCAAAAGAAATGCAGCAGCGTCCGGGCCAGGACAAAAACGCACCACTTCTTGACTCTTCTACACTCAGATCATCCTTACGTCCATTATTTTGTGTACCCATCCGAAGCTCTTACTTACCTGATAAAGGATTTGGTCGGGTGAATTTCATAGACAATGGGGTCGTCCTGGTAACTGAAGCTGCCAGTCTCTCGGTCGGCTAAGTCGATTTTCAACTTAACAGGAAACTCAGCTGACACGGGGTGGGCTGGTGTGTAACATGTGAGAGTATGGCTTGACACACTGAGCAAAAAAACAAGGTAACATAAGAACACGGACCTTAGCTTTTCAAGGTGCACATCATTTAAAATTATACCCATAAATCAAAGGATCTAACTCAATGGTCTCAATGGTGCCTAAATGGGAATTTCCTGAGGTGGTCCTCTCTAGTGCAGGCTGTTTACATTTGACTGGATCCCAAGCTACGTCGTTGAAAGGCCATCCTTAACTTCAAAACATCTGGCATTTTAAGCAACCTTGAAAGTACTGTTGGTCCTTGAGTAAACTGATCTGTCTCAGCTCTAAGAAGCAGAAACATAACCTCCTTCCAAGCCTAATCTCGCTCATTTCTGCTCTCACCAATGTGACTTCTAAGTTTAAACCTTACTGGAAATGTGCATTTCAACTTATTATCAATTACCATAACCTCAAGTTCATTATCACTAGGATACGGAGAAATAATAATGCAGCGTGGATGGAAAAACAAAACTCAAAAGTGGGATTAATAAATTTAAAAAGGGTAGAAAATTCAGCAAAAGCAAATAGGTGGATTTGTCAGTCTTGTCAGCAGGAAAGCAAACAATAAATAAACATCTTGATTTTTTTTTTTTCACTTTAGGAAGAACAAACGTGGCTTGATTTCTGATGTGTAAGTATTAATCCAACTTGGCAGATACAAGAAAAAGTAAATTTACAACACCTTTCTAAAGTGCATGTTTTTCCACCAATTGAAATGTGTCTAGAATTTCCACTGTCCAGGTTCTTTCCAGTTAAGGTAAGTAAAGTGCCCCCAGCCTTAGGACCATAACTTGGAGAAATACTTGTTATTATAGGATCCTGAATGGGAGATAAAAATAAAACGTAACTTGTTAATTGTGTAACTATAAAAAATTAAGTAAAAACTAAACATCTTAGTTTATGAGAAAAGTAATACTCAGACTTACTACATAAGAAAATGTACTGTATTGTGCTGTTCCACGACTGTTTGAAATTATTATGGACACACTGAAACACTCATTCACTGCAGGACCAACTGTGCATTTCAACCTGAAAAAAACCGGTTGGATACATTACAAACCCACAGGTATTATCCGGCGTGGTTTTTTTTTGTATGATGGGACATTAACTTTAGATTGCGAGCTGACTATTGCGAATAGCAAGCAGAGTGCTGTGGTAAGGGTTAAGGATACTATTATGCTTAACTCTATACTGGCTGCAGTACAGTGTTTACACAGGCAACACAGGAAATGTTAGATCTCATCAAGGCAGATTTCACCAATTGAAAAGTAAAAAAAAGCACGTAATAACCTAAGCCTAAGGTTTAGCATATTTAAAATAATGACATCTTAATAGCCTATAAAAGTGGGGTAGTCATAAATAGGCCAAATTTCCAATACCAAAGTATATCAACAGGTACATTTCTATGGTTCTACTTATCACGCATTTAAATTCCTTGAAGAATAATGAAATTGTGATGGGCTTTGCATAGAGTAATTTTGAATCAATAATCTGAAATTCTGGAAAAGTTTAAGTATAATTTACTACATTAAATAGGTTTTAAAACAAGAGAAGAGACTGTTTCATTTTTACAGATACTAATTTATAACGCAGTAATTAAGAGTTGGAGAACTTACAAGGGAATTTCTAGAACAGATCTGTTTTAGCTTTGAGTTAACAAGTATGACATTACTTGATGTTTTGTCTTAGGAAAATGAAAAGATAAGGTTTTTTTTTGGTAACCCTTTATAAATTCTATTAGATCTAAAATACCCACTAGATAGAACAGGTTCAGCCTCATAAAGATTAAGCCAATAAACCTTCCATGTTGTTACTACATAGTAAGTACTGATTACTGGGTTCCCTGCTCACTAGGGGATTCAGAGTTACGGAAGGCACACATAGAGCACAGTACGCATAGAGCACAGGCTCTGGGTCAGAAGATCCGTGTTTGAAGGCCCACTGGACTCTTCCTGTATGGGTTACCTCTGCTAAACCACCGCCACCCTTGGAATATCAAGTATTTCCTTTGTACAACAGGAACGATACCATCACCTCCCAGGATTTCGGGGTGATCAACTGAGTTACATTCCATACCGTACACTGCCAACAGATATAATCTGAATGTAACTTTAAGTTCCATTAAAAATAGTCTGAAAAAAGTGATCGAGTGGCTTTACTGTAATTTTAAGGTTCAGCAGATGAATTCACAAGAGAAAGTATGTATTGAGCAGTTCACTGATTTTCCAGAAAGAGCCTATTGAGACTGTATCTGAAGACTAAAGACTATTTCTTTCCAATATACCTAGACACTTTTCAAAGAGTTGTTACATTAATGGTGGATAAACTCCCGAAACGCTGGATTCTTTTCTTCAGCTAGGCCATACCACCTTTCCCTTTCCCTAATCCCTGCAACAGGGTTAAAAGAACCAAAGTAAATGCACGAGTGTGGGGCTCCTTCTGACACCCGGTGGGTTGATGTCTGCTTGGGTTGCTTTGGAGGCGAAAGTCTGCTCACCCGAGTAGCTGGGGCCTCCTGAGGACGGCACACTCTGCTAGCTCAGGCAGAGATGGGCCTTACAGGGGAGACAAGGAAGCTCCAGAGGGCACCATCAGACAAAAGTTAATTATTCAGCCAAACCATCACCACGCCTGGCTCGGCTGCCTTGCTACCTAAAACAAGCGTCTGCGCTCAGCAGAACTCTACTGCCTTTGTTGTTCCTCAATAAATCTGGGGGTCTGAGTCAATTCAGGGCTTCGCTCCACTTTGGTAAAGACCTCTGGCCCCCAACAAAGACACTCTCGCATTTCACTCGTCTTTCTAATGGGGTTTGCTGGCTCGAACGCAGCACACGAGGAATGGGGCAGGCCGAAGGCCCCTTTTAATTCACGGTATTAGCTTTCTGAGGAAATTTTTAACAAGCATTCACTCAAAAACAGAGCTTGTCTGCAACACACCCCCACAAAGCCTCTAAAACTCCTTACATATTCATTGTGCTCTCCCTTAAGATCAAGGTGCAGCTCTCATTTCCAAGGAAAACTTTGGTTTTCTTGAAATCAAATTTATTATTCTTCCTGAATCCAAAGTCCCAGCCACAGATGGTCAACGTTGTCCCACCTTCAATGGGTGCGCTAGTTGGGGAAACCTACAAGGACAAGACAGAGCTTAAAAAATCCAACATGCTATTGTTTTCACCTGTGGGTAAAGCAAGCAAAAGCCATGTACCCTAAAGTGGTCTGAGATTCTCCCACAATGTGGTAAAAGCTCAATTTTACTAAAGGAAAGGGTTACAAATCCCGCAGCATCTGGAATAGACACTGAACTACCTGACATGATGGAACAAGCTGTTTTCCCTTTTTTGTTTTTTGGTCTTTCTTTTTTTTGGTACCGGAAATCGAACTCACAACCTCAGGCTTGCCAGGGAGGTGCTGTGTCCATGAGCTATATCCCCAGCCCTAACAAGCTGTTTTCAGATCCAGAAATGGGAGCAAGGCTGGAGCGAGCCTAGGTAGGAATGAGGGTCTCTGGGCCACTCTGAAGTGGACTCATTTGAGCAGCAGTGGACACTCTGGGCCCAAACTTTCACTTGCTCGTAACTGATCACACCACCTGCGTGGGCCTCCAGATCAGCTCCCAATCCAGACTCCCGCAGCAGCCCTGTCGGCCGTCAGCCTTGCTTGGTGCCTGGGCTTGGTGTCCGCCACACTCCTGCTGCTGTGGCACTCCCCCTTTACAGAAGAAAGTCACACAGTGAAAGTGCATCTCGTAGCACCTCCTGTTAACACAGCTGCATTCAGTAACTCTCATAGTACCACACACACAGTTGGTACTCACTACCCCCCTGCCAACCAGTCACTTACAGAGGACCTTCCATGGGCCAAATACCAATAAATAAATAAATAAGTGAATCTACTTTCTTATTCCTGTAACACGATCTACTTTATGCCTATTAGTTCACATTTATGTCTGACTCAAGATTGTTCACTCTTCTTTATACTGGTCTCTGTTTGACGTGCACCATGTACATGATGTAAAATCAAACACTGCATACAACTGAATACATACAATATGTTATTTCTACTAGCTATATAAAAACACAGAACTGGGAACATCTAAAACCAGCAGTGCAGCAATCTTTGTAATGATCTCCTTGGCATTATTTTACATCTCCTTTTGAAGATTTTTTTTCACGCCATGTTCAATGTTTAATAAATAATAGGCTCACTGTCTTGCAAGCTCACTTTTGCTGTGTTAAATGTGAGATCTGGGATTCTTAATAAAGCTTTGGTAACCGTGACATAAGGTAGCATCGGGCATTTACAGAGTCCATAAGGTAACTCTTCTTAGGTTAAAACCAGTTCAACAAAACACATTTCCAAGTTAAAAATAAGCTTCTCCGGGGTAGCTCTGTGACAATTGAGAGAGGAAATGCTCTTTTGGGGGAGCATATTGTAAATTGTGCTATAAAGTACAATGGTGGGAAAACAGCACCAAGACAGAGCAACTCAAAAATGAGCACAGGCATCTGCTAAAGCCGCGTCTCTGCAAGTCTTACAATTCAGGAGACTTTCAGCGAGATTCAAATTTGCAAACATTCCCATCCTTCCGAAGTAAATAATCGCAAACCGAAGTCCTAACTTACCCTCGTTACCAAACCCGTTTAAAGTCTTAGCTTAATGCTTTTATGATAACCATCTTACCCATAAAAATCCATTACACAGTTATGCCTTTCATGAAAATTTACCTCTTCTATGTCTAGCCAAATGAGAACTGCTAGAAAAAAACCTGTTTATTATTATGTTAGAAATCCAGCAGGAGAGAAGAAGCCAGCCCACCCTCCCGGGTCTCTCCTCAGCCTGCGGCCGCCACACAGCTGCTGCTCCCTCTTCTAATGAGGAGCCTTCTCCATCCAAACAGCTGCCCGGTGCTGACACGGGTGTGTCCCGCTGCCTCCAGCCCCCGCCTACGCAAAAAAAATGAAGCCTGCCACTCCACACACACCATCACTGTCTGCAAAAGGCAACGGGCCCAGGTGCTGATGTGAGAGGAGACATTGAGAGGTGCTGAAGCAGTATGCTGGTAACAGAATTGAGTATTACAAAACTCCACTAGATGCAAGCTTCCAAAGGCCACATCTGGGTTGAACGTCTTTCCCTTGGCTTAAGGGGTGACCTCCACTCTTCCAGGGCAAAAGGAAGAAGTGGCCATGGATCACAGCATCTTCCCAACACTGGGAAAGCAAACTCCGTTATCCTGGAGTGCAAGGACACTCGTGTCCAGCAGGAAGCCAAGGGGCTGCGTCTCCTACCTGTCTGGTTAGGGGAGATAGAGACACGCAGTAGCTCCTGTCCTCTCAGAGGTGGACAACTGTGCTTTGATGGGTCCATTCCACTCGTATTTTATCTATCTATCTATCTATCTATCTGTCTATCATTCTAAAGAGAAGAAAAGGTAAACAATGGAACTTCCTTTCAAAACAGGTTAGTGGGACAGTTACAAAAGCTGACACGTTGCGGATTGTTGTCTTTATTGTTTAGACAAGATACTGTGCCTATATCTTGTACGCTGATTCACTCCACTGGTATTTGAAAATGATCATGTTTTTTAAACCCTTTAGGTAAAACATGAGAAAGCTAAAAGAAAAGGAAGTCCCTAAACATTAAAATTTGCAGTGGAAGGCTCCTTTCTGCTGTGGCAGAAAAAAGTCACAGATAAACCCTGGCAATATATTGCCTGTAGCCCTCCGACCCTGTACAAGATACTGCTGTTGCTTCTTATCTGAGTCTTCTGATGAACTAATAAATAGTTTATTGTCTTACTGGGGTTTCTTCAACCCTACATGATATGACAACGTCATACCGATAAATTCAGAGTATATTAGGAAAGTACTCCTGCTTTTCTGAAGTGTTTTTCAATGCCCTTTAAGAATGTGATCAGATGACATATATGAAACAAAACGATGGGCTTCCAATCCTGGTATCTCTCCTAAGAATTCTATACACTGAGCATGATGTACTTGAAAAGCAGCTTAACGTGCATGTATGGGCGAAAGAAACTCTATACATCTCTAGGTTTTGTGCACGTAAAGTTTAAGACAGATAAGAGAAAGATGTATAATCTGTCTTATTCTTTGCAGTAAGAATGCTAAATGTCACGGTCTAGCACAGCATGAAATCTTCCTAACAACTATGAACCGAGGATTTATGGACTCGGCTGCACTGCTCTCCTTATGACTATACAGCCCACGCCTGGAAGACTGCACAGTACAATGCAACCTTTTAAAGCTGCCAACTGCGGAGTGCCTGAGTTAGAGGATGTGAGAAAGGAGGTAGATTCAAACACACCAGGGTTTCTCTGCTTCCAGAAAATGCTACACACAATATTGTTTGGCTTCTAATCATTTTAATATGACTTTCATGATTAGTAAGAGAAAGCACAGTGGTTAAAATGAAATGTTTCTGTACTGGTTATGCACCTGCTTTCTTTACTCAAAATTCCAACTTGGTGATTTCTAAAATAAAACTGTTGCTTTAATTGTGAGTATACAGACACATGCGCACGCGCACACACACACACACACACTCCATGTGTCTTTCATGGAAAATGAAGAGTTCAAATTTCTAGTGTCTTAAACTGCCAACTCTGTATTTGTAAAAGTGCATGAAGGTTTCAAAAGTATACTGGACAATAAAATGTGCAAAAATACTATAGAACAGACTTCAATTTGTTTTATTCTCTCACGTTATTTTCTGAAATTACCAAGCCAAGGCTCAACTGTCACACTTAACAGAAAGTGATTTGGTCGAAAATCCAGTCACCCACTGTAACCTTGCCTGAAACCGTAACTAAATGAAAGCAGACGCATGCTTGGGGGTAGTTCTTGCTTTGACTTGCACACTTTGTTTACTTGTGCGTGAATCAGGTGACCGAGACCTTTAACTTGAATCTTTCATAGGAACCATTTACTAAAGTCCAACTGCTCTAAATGCATGGAGAGAAAATACATACTGGGTCTTCGCCAGGGAAGTATTTTCAAGCAAAATGTACAGCATTTGGATCAAGAAATTATTAAATACTTGTCACAGAGATTTTCAAAGTACCAAATATATGCTTACACAAACAAGGCAACAGATGAGAGTGCGGCTGGAAGGCTGTGGCCAACGTCCCCTCCCAGAAACTAAGTTCCGTAACAGCAGGAGACAAGTCTGGCTTCTTTCGGACCATATACCCCCGCACTGAAAAGGCCTGCCATGTGATGTGCTCTCAGTGAATGTTTTCGCAGTGAATGAAAGGATGAAAGGGCTCACAGCACTGCAGATGCCAGTGCAGTCATCAGCTGAGCCTTCACCTCTCTTTCGCACACACTGAGGTGACACTCATAGTGACCATGGGTGCTGACCTTCAATTTGCCTCCCACATCTCCTGGGAAACAACCTCCAATGTACATGTGCTGTCACAGGGCTGCCTTCTGTGCCTCAGACAGGAAGAACCTTACTTCCTGTCTGCCCTTACAGAGCTGGAATTGTGGGCTTGCGTGGTTCACCCTCAGACGTCCTGGTTAGGAATGAGAAATTCTGTCTCAGTGGTAGAGACTCCTGTCTGGGCAGCTGGCACCCAGCAGGTGAGGCGGAGTCAGAGGACGGGTGAGTCAGGAGGGATCAGGCTCTGGTGTGCACAAAGGGGGAGCAGTATCACTCGTGAGCCATGCACAAGGCATGAAGGAAAAGCAGCTGCACAAGGAGAGTATCCAAGGAACAGGAAGCAAGCCCTTCAGCTGCAGGACTCCCTGTGCCCCAAGGCTACTCAGGATAAATCCAGGAGCAAGTCAGGGCTTCAACTGATGTCTTACAGCTAAATGAGGAAATTAATCTTCGGATTGTTTTTACAGTAGTGAGATTTGTATTTACTGAAAATCACGCATGACAGCACCGATTCTTACCTTGTAGACTGCAGGCAAGCAGATCTCTTGCGTCCACGTCCCGCTGCGGCACTCGTCTGATCGTACACATTGATCGTGGCACCAGCCACACTGCATGAAAGGTGGGGCAGAGACACACTGACTACAGGACTGGAAATGTCCACAGCCCAAGCCAGTCAATGGGATCTTCGTGATCTGTGGAGAAAAGTGATACAAAGGCCTTCCACAAGGGTTTTCGGTTGGTGTGTTTGGAGAAATGCCATGAATGCACCAACGCTACATGTAAGTATCAGTTCACGGGGTCTACTAGAGAGAGCACCTGTGTGTACATCATGGTTAAGTGATTAAAATTTAAAAATCACATTTCCTCCTTCCCTCTACTGTTGGGATCTATGTGATAAAAGGTGACATTACTGTCCAGGAACTGAGGAGCACTGTCATGCAAAGGTAGAGGTTATATAGAGTAGGGACACTTGACCTACCAAGGTGATTTTGAAATAGTACAATTTAAATAGCTCGAAGACACATTTGAATTCCTGGGAAATTCTAAGTGAGGTCTGTAGTGTGATGCACATCTTTCTCTCTGAGAAAAGGGATTACTGGCTGGAGTCAGGTTCCAACACACATTTCCAGGTTTTATCTGCCTGAACTAGAATTCTACCACAGGACTGTAATTCTCATTCTGTGTTTGCTTTTCTCATTGAGAAATGCAGGACTAAAGGAAAAGTGTACATTAGGAAGAAAACCTCCCCTAAGCCTAACCATGCCTCAGTAAAAAGTTAACTGTAGTCTGGAACATCTCTGGGATACTCAGAGAAAGCTTAATGGAGGAGATGGGAATGTAAGATGAAGACAGAAATTGTTAAAAAACCAAACGATACTGGCTGCAAATATCCATTCAGGAAGAACCGTAACTACGGAAACTCCCCGTCAGAACAAGGCTTACCTTCTTCCCAGTGATAGCCAGAGTGTAGCCATTGTTGTTTAGTGGCTGTCCCACAATCACTTCTGGAGACACAGGTTGGGAATCCAGGCGAAAATTCACATGAGGGGTGGACGATACTGTTCGAGAAACCACAACCTGAGAAATAAAAAAGGAAACACCACATTCCAACAAGCTCTACTTAATTGTAAGGAAAAGATGTGGGTAATAATGCAAATAACAGGTTAGGAGAGCTGGCTGCTGTCTGAATGAAAGACCTAACAGTCTGTCTAGCTGTGAACCAACACAACATCATCTGAGCTTCCTTGAAGCCAAGTTCTCAGAACCCCAAGAGAGACTTTGTTGTGATCTTTTAATGGTTTCTAGAGAAGGAGACCTTCCAGTCAATCAGCCAGCAGCACATCCAGACAAATCCTCACAATTGTACTGGGAAATGGAAGAGCCAAAACTCTCCCCAGAAAGAAGACACCACGTGCGCTGCAAGGATTCTGGATTACTTTTGATCTATCCTCTGGATCCTCCCTGTGCGGCCGTTTCCCCCGACTCAATGGTGAGAGTGGTGCACTGGGACTCTGGAAACCTGGAGCTAGTTCCAACTTCTTTACTCTTAAGCCGTATTTATAGATCTTGTGAGGTCAAAATAGGCCCTTGAGTTACTCTGAATTGAGGTACTGTTTTTTGTTTACTGCTGTCACACAATATGTTCTTATACTTGCATTATAAATACAGTTCTACTTATCTTCCCAGCTTTAAAACAAAGCCTGATGGTTTTAACAATGCCTGGGAAATGAGGTTTGACGGCTGGTGTTATTCTTGCTTTCAGGAATTTCTAATTTGGGATGTTTCCCACCTATATGATTTCCACCTGCCTTGTTCTCGGAGCCCAGTGATAATGAAGTGCAGAGACTGACCAACAACTGAGGTAAGATCAGGATGATTACGGTAGATGAACGCAGATTTTAGGAGGGCTGAGGAGCTCTCAGAGCGACTGTCACTTGTGAGTAGAACATCAGTTTGCATACAGATGAGCGTGTAGGAGGCCGAGCACAGCACATCTGCCTGACCTCTCTGATAATCCCTCACACTGCATGAAAGTGCATTTGCTGGCCACTGGTGTGAACTTGTGGGGCAAAAACAGGCAACTGCGGGCTTAGGATTTCAAAAACAAAACATTCTCCTACAACTTTCTTAATCATAAAGTGGGAATAAAAATCAGAAGAGTAATTAACTTTGTAAGCTAACAAGTATGTACAACATAGAAATGCTCTGGAGAACAGCAGTAATTTTTCTTTTCCTCAGTACAATGAAGGAGCCAAGTAGCTGAAAACAATTCAGGAAGATTTTCAAAGGATCTGTACATTCCCAGAGAGTAGCCTGTTGACAGATAACCTAACCAATGCTTACACAGAGCCACGAAAGTTAAATATCAGCCTGTTTTGTTCTAACATTTGTTCTACCCTGAATGCTCAGCACTGACAAAACATCTTCATTAAGCAGGGTGGCTATATTTGCTCAGAAGTAGAAGATGGCTCAGAGGTCACTTACTCAAGATAAATACTACTGTTATAGCCTAAATTTAAGGCCCGGGAGATCTTTGGCACCTCTGCTGGCAAGGTGTAAAAGGGTTCAATTAGCAGTCTCACCTGTCTCTGGGTGCTGGTTACCAACAGGATGTCAGACGTCAGACTTTTCCCCAAATTATCTAGGTTTTGGTTGTCAGAATTAGCAGTCTGGTGCTCACTACCTCTCATTTTTCCTATTCCCTTTTAATTCCCTGTTCCATATGTACCTGATCACTGCCAATTACTTCAGACTGGACAGGCACAAGCCATAAACAACAGAACCACCACCAGCTGGTCCTCACACCGACTCTATTCTCTACTTCCTTCGGCGCTTTCCACTTCCCTGAAGACTGTGCATCACTGTGAACGCTCCTGCAGACATCTGCATTCTGTATTTGCCTCCCTGGTTTCCCCATACTGCGCAGAACTGCTACATAACAGTCGCCTGTAAGAGTGCTTTGAGACAATGCGCTGTCGCTTTTTTTACCACTGTCCTATCCTATGTTACAAGTGGAATTGATGAGCGGTACGGTAACATAATATTCAACATTCTTGGCTCTGTCCTCTTGCTTTCTTTAAAATCATTTTCCATATCTGTAAGAAGCAATCTCTCCTTAATTAGTGGGTCATCGTATTTGGCTTTATCAAATACCCAAAGCCCATCCAGACGCTAATTTTTCCAGAAAGGATTAACTATTCTCTTTTGCTCCTGAAGAGGCTCTTTGCACCTCTGGACTTGGATTGATTGATTTCTTTTCCCTGGCAAGACTTCGTCTGGACAGCCCTGTCCACGTGGCACTTTCAGAACAGGGGATGCAGTCAGGCCCTAGCCGAGTGCTTTCAACAGCGATTTCACTGACTCTCACAATCATTCCTCAAGGTAAGCACTACTATTTGCATTAAGGAAAAGACAAGAGAGACTGTTAGCCAGAAAGCACAAGAGTCAGGTTTCCCAGGAGCTTTATCGAACGCCGGAATCTGTGTGCTTGACCTCTTATTAAACACTCAACTGCTAGACTCTTGGGGCACCAGAGTAAATACCAATAAAACAAAACAAAACAAAACAAAACAACCAAAAACCTTCCACTTGGGTTCCCAAGAGCACTGGTGAATCAAAGCCCTAAAACAGCTTTCTCAATATTCTTTCTTGCCAGTATGGAAGCCTGTCCGCACAAGCTGTGCGCTTAGGGGCAAGCCTTCACATCTCAATGGTTTTCCATGGCACACAGGAGATGTCACCTGCTCAGCTAGCAGAGCTCTACTCCTAATCATGACCTAGGATAAGCACTGGTTGGGGTGGAAAGTGAGCTGAAGAAGAGAAGGCAGGAAGGCCCTCTGGAAAACGAGGATGACCCTCAGAAATGCTGAGCAGAGGCTGTCCCACAGATGCAAATACCTTGTTACTTGATCATTCACCCTTTCTCTTCGGGGACATCTACTTCTGCAAAATGCCAAGAATTATCTTCTGTCATTGATGGCTCACTTTCTCTTACTGTCAGAATTCTAAATAATTGAGTAACCACCTCGGCTCTCAAAATACTGTGAAGCAAAGCTTGCAAGCGTTAGGGGTTCCTTATTGTTGTCATGGAGATATTTTTAGGGACGGAGAAAATGTGGCATATAAATTTAATTCTTATGATAAATCCCTTGGCAATCTTACAACAATTAGTATAAAATAGAAGACCAGCAATTCTCTTTTAAAAATTTTCTACTGTGTCCAAGACTAATTGTTAGCATTCACACTACAGGATATTCTTCTGTAATGCTCTTGAAAATACAGAGCTATTACATTTTTTAGGGATGGGGAGGAATCAAATTTCTTGATTGTTGTGGTAAGTTATCTGGAAGAGGGTAGAAACACATGTATAGATAACACTGTTGTGGCAAGGTCCCTATATTTGTAAACCTTAACAAAATAATTTTGTGTGTGTGTATATATATATATATATATATATAAAAATAAAGGCCGGATCACCTTGTCATACACAGAATTAAAATGCTTTACAATTTTCTTTAACAATAACGAACACGATTTAACCGAAGACACTTGTGTTCATATGTGGTGGACAATTCAGTGTTTTTTAGTACAATCACAGATTTGTGCAAGCATCACTACAACCAACTCTGGAATACTTTCACTACCTCCAAAAGAAATCACACATACCCCTTTAGCTAGCGCTCCTGAATCTTCCCTGACCCTGCTGCCATGCATTGCGTGGACGAGAGCGGACCTCCTGAAGGGGAGGGAGGCATGCCAGGAGGCTATCAGAGGAAAGCCAGACAGAGCTGTAATCAGAATGCTGTGGACTAAGAATATTTCATATCCTCAAGAGTTCTTGGAGAGACCTGGGTAAATGCTGGACTTCCTGCTGGCACTGTACTTCCAGAACAAGACGCTGCTCTGGGATTCAGCTCTCTGGGTGTGAGTGGCATGTGTGACCCTTTCAGGAGGGCAGAGTTGGAGGACAGTACTCAGTCCTTCACATGGGTCTCCCAAGACAAAGGAACTCAGCAGACCTTGTGGTAGAGAGTCCAGTCTTAGAGATGTAGATTAAAATGCAACCAAGACGCCTGCATAAAAGAGCATAGTGGATTTTCCTTTTGTAAGAGCAGAAAATATACAGCTCTACGTTAAGGCAAATAAAAAACGAACTGGAGCGTTGATTCCATCTAGACTGATTTCTCATTGAAAAGTTAAAAAAAACATATTTCTGTTAAGAAATAAAGAAAATTTTATTCTTCATGAAGGATGTTATAAATTATTAGAATTTGAGACACAAAAAGAAAAAAAAACATGAGTGAAGATGATGCCACTGTTAGTAATTAGTCCAGGTTACACCTGGATGTAATGTTACAGATGTGGGGAGTGTGTCTGCTTCCTGTAGGTCCCAGTCGAGACCAGACTCTTGGACACATTAGGTCTTCAAGGCATGGCTACTGTATTAATATACGAGCACATCAAAATTAGAAGCCCCGAGGAGTCCTGGGTAATGATGACTATGGAGGAACAAGAAAACAGCCTGTTGCTAGTCACAGGTGCAAGTCTCTCGGTCCTTCTTTTCAATCCTGGCCTTCCTTCCAGCCGTCATACCTCAGTGAAAGGAGTCACTGGTGAGGAGGTAATATGCTATTTTTGACAACCCTTAGGCTGTAACTACTTATTAGATCCTTCTTGCATATCTCTGTCTTCCTGAGAAACCACTTTGAAGATACCACCACGTATTACAACAGCCATTGATATTTTCCTACTAATCTATCCATAACTGTGTTAAGTTTGTAATGTTCCTATCCTATTTCATAATGTATGTTTATTATTATGTGTTTCCTACAACAACCATTGAGAATAGTTAATGATTTTTCAATAGGTCACTCATGTATAGCTCTGTTTATTTTCTTTAGAAGCCACTTTGAAGATACCAAAGTATAGCACAACAACTCTTGATAATCTCCTACCTCTTTTGTCTCTAACTCATTATTTGTCTATTTGTTTTCCTAAGAAACTATTTTGTAGATAATAATACGTAAAATGATAACCATTGATAATTTCCTACCATTTTGTCTGTAATTTACTAAGTC